GATCAGGGTGACACAGAAGTTACCGATTCATAGATCAAGGAAATACTTGCCAAAATGAAAAAAGGAACAGAATATCGATCTGATACAGAGGAAATTCTACCAGAATGTAATTCTGCCGGAGGTTTTGCACTCTCAGCACCCATTCCAACAAGTTTAAAGGCCGGGTTCAGACGTGCTAACCCAAGCTAAATGGGACTACGCAAAGAAGCGGGAATATGAGGCAGCAATTTAGATTTGTACAACGTTACCCGTTGCGAAGTAAAGTATTGGTTCTGAAAGCGGTACAGTGTATTGCCAACCAGAAGACAACCATTATGTCTCATATTGAGGACACAGTATGGCGGCGTTTTTATTGAGGTTACAGGTGGAAATTGTAGTGATCGAAACAGCAACCGATTTGGATGTCTACGGCAATACTTGGAAACTACAAATCTATTATTAGACCAGCGAAATATCTACCGATGGTTAACGACCAGCAATGCTGATACGTACAGATCAGCCACGTATAACATCACATCTCTGGCCAGCAGACCGATGCTTCATAGGGACAGATCCGGACCGAGGGTAGGACTGACTTAACCGACGTATAGAGCATTTCTTGGCCTATAGCTCACCTGGACGTTAACCAAGCCTCTTCCATTTGAAACTAAGAAGCTGCAAAATTAGAAATCGAAAAAAAAATTAAACGGTAGTGAGTTTATCTCTTCTATAAATGAATTTTCGAATTAACTCGAATGCTCTCTTTGCTACTGATTGACAACTGTTTAACGAACGTAATTCTACCAATGTACTCGCCCAGGACCTGTTGAGTCGAATTAATTGAAACTTCGAGAAGTGAAATTAGGCCACTCTACTGATGTTCTTCGTTCAGCTATCTGCTTTAGGTTGAAACATGGTAATGACGATCTTTTAATGTTCTGTTTTTATTTTATTTATTCACTTTTCCCATAGTCTTCCATATCATTTGAAAGCGCTCTTTCTCTCCTGTATGGGTCCGTTGAGAACCGACCTCAGTGTTGAGTTCAGGCTACGAAACTGGAAGTACCAGGTGAAAAGAGCAAGTTCTGGAAGGTGGGACCTTAAACGTAGTCCATTTTTTCCGGCTATATAAGATCCTTGTCGACAACCCGTGAACCAACTGAAAAGACGAACCTATTGTAAACATCCCGAACGCATGAGGAACTTGGCTGCGCCATCTATCGAGATAACGGGTAGCTCCAGGTAGAAACATTTTGCGTATGATTCCGGGTGTAATACGAGCACGGAGAAAAATCGAAAAGTTAACTAACATTAGGTCCCAGAAGTCGGAACTTCGTTCGGAACATTTAGGAGTTGTAACAGCTGTTTGCACACCTACGAGGATGCGGAAACGAAACAAAGGCGCCACTCAAGAGAAGGCCTTTTTCTATGCATAAAATTTACGAGCTAAATTAGCTTCACCTCGAGACGTGAAAGCGCTTCATTCCTATTGACAACCACAAGTTTCTATTTTCTCCAACCCGACAATATAATAGCGTAGATCACAATGCTCAACCGCCAAATGGAAACCTCCAAGGTCGCTGCCCTCGATTCTTTCGAATTTCTTTCTTATTTTGTTAAAGTAGCTCATACAAACAAAGGAGCGCGTAGTATGCTGACCTACAGTCAGTTAGCAACAATAAGCTCTGGCATCGTTGGAAGAGATCGAAATCGATTCGATGAGTTGGCAATATGAGTAAACAGGCAGAGACAAACCTGAGCAGAGCAATGTAAAATGCAACCGTAGGCCTACGAGAAAACTACGGCCGTAACATGTTCACAGCTTAACAAAAAATAGGTACTATCTTAACTAGCTGAGGGATTATACCCAGGTTTTGGACCGACGAGTTACTGGGTTGTGCCACTGATGAACGTATACATGTTAAGTTTCAATAAAGGGCAATCTTTAAAGATGAATTTCACTTTGTTTGTTTGATTGAGATTGAGACGAGTTTGACGTTTGATGAATTAAGAAATTTTAGCTCTATACAGATGTGAAGCTAAGGTCTAAATTTAAACTGAATTTAGAACAATAAGTGAGTAGCACTTGAGCCTTTGCGGCAATTTCAAGTAATACCTCAAAATGAGACGTATGCTACAAGCAAACTTGTTTGATAGCCAGATGAGCCAAATCAGGCCAATGGCTCCAATGGGGAATTGCTGATCTGCTGTCCAGCAGGCAAAAGAGTTCAATTCTGATATTTGATTTTCGCAGGAATGATTTTTCAATTTTCTGACATCCTATAGTTTCGCGCTGGATCGGACAAAGGAACATCGACCTAGTAAAGACGGAACATGGCAAACATGTTTCCTCGACGGGTTGATACAGAGCTCCCAGAGGAATTTCGTACGGGCTCTGGATACGTTTGACGTTCGTACAGTGCAAAAAATATTTGGTTAGAACTCAAGTTCAATCAGCATCAGAGAGTTAATTCGCATGAGCATGAAGGCGTGAAAAATTGGATGCAGGAAACGTAAACAAGGACATATTGTTAGGTCAGTGACTGCGATTACTTGTTGATCTTTTTGTAATTATTTTTTTACAATTTATTGACTCGAAGAGATAGGTTACAGTGTTTCACCGTATGTTCAATTATCCCGTAGAACTTTATTAGGCACACTGTTAACCTTATTAACACAAACATTAGAAAAAAAAAGATCGGAAACCTTTTAGAAGGTTACCGATGCTAAAGAAATACTTATTAAGCTCTGTTCTTAATTTAAACAGCTTTAAGCAGGATAACTGTGATTACGGCTTAAAACATGCCATATCTTTTAGCTTTAATCTCCAAGTTCCCATCAAAACCATTACTAAACTTCATATTCGAGCTTTGTTGGTTAACTAAATCATCAAGATACCGCCAGTTGACATCTAGAGCCAATCTGTTTCGTCGTTACGGTTCTGCAGCGGGGCAAGGAAAGACAAGCTACTAATACCACTTGTGACGAGAATCACGCTACCTATTGAAAACCTATTAGTACTGGGAGAAATTGGGCTTGTCCTTTTCACCTTTAATTCAATAAATTAAATACATAAAAAGATATGTGCAAGTTAGTCCTAAAGAGAATAGTTTGGGTTTTTATAGATAATTTAGAACTTTCAATTCAGCTTTCAAGAATTTAGAAATTTTCATGATACAACCATATGAGCTCCATATGAGTGACGAATAACGCCAACGGGCGATGGTTGGAAGAGGAGTATATAAACAAAATAACAAACAGAAAGACTGACTTCTTACCATCTATCGAATGGTTTGATATTTTGAGAGGCTTGTAAACCGAACCTCGAGCGCATTTACATCGTTAAAAAAAAGCTAAAATTGCTTCTACTATTTAATGGGTAAACACATCGGGGCAAGGAAATGTTTCACGTTTAATTACACGAAAAATATCGTAACAAACACCCTCATTTCCTCCAATTTAGTGGGTAGAGTTGCAAAGTACGCGGTGGTAACTATAAGCCGCAACCGTGGTCAGGGCATGTTGGGATAATGTGCTTTACCAGTCGAAAATCAAACGCGTTAAGGAGCTAACGGTAGCGTTCAGATGCCCATAGCGTGCAAATATATAACTACTTAGTATTATTATCGCAGAATGTAGTTTAGTTTATTAAAAAATTTGCAAATAAAAAATTGCATCCGTGTGCATCTGCTCACCCGGACCGCATTCTTGTCTACCAAGCACCGCAGCCTAAATAGGTAGGGTAAACCTAGTTTGGGCCAGGGATGCTACTACTCGTAATATTATTCGTGGTTATTATTAGACTATGATTAAACATGATAGGTTTAGCGGGGCATTCATTCGAAAGCGAGATTGTTCCCAAAGATTAGTCTGCATTAGTCCCCGTAATAGTTTAACAATTAACATATTTGTCTGCTAATCTTAGGAGTATCTTGCAATCTAGCCTCGCATCTGGACATAGATAAACAGGCTTCGTATCGTGCTGGAAGCTAGCCAGGCGTTTAATGGAACTTTTTCTAATGGCGATACCTGACGTAAGCTCGAAACATAGAGGTCTGTATTTCGTTCAAGTAGCATACTCTTATCAGTTCTTGTATGGCGTTTTGCAAATTCGCATCCATCCATAAGTATGACTATGAAACGCGCGTTCACGTCTGCATGTGCATACTGCGTACAATGTGAATGAAGTTGCGACAATTATAAACATAACTGATATGAATGCGGATATACGTTTGAACCTTCTGATTTGCGTGTGTTTATTATTGCTTAATAATTTTCTATATGAAAATCCTGTACTAAATTGCTGAATGTTTAAATATGGTGGCGTTGTATGCCAATAAGGATTGATGAAACAAATAAATGTATTATTGTTGAGTTCTACATTTAATAGAGTACCTTCATAAATTAATACCCTATAGAAAAGATGCTACTACGTACTGTCACCCATATGTTCGACTATATATTATTAGTACATATATATATACATTTATACCGCCTTACCCAGAACACTTAGCGTGACTTTAAGGACTAATAGAGCGACTATTTTCGTATAAATGTTGCACATGAAGACGTCTAAACGTATATAAACCCACACGTATTGAAGGAACCAATTTTTTACTTACCTATTAGAATGTACTTGGCGTAATCGGGTGTGTCTGGCAGTAATGATTGCTCTCCAAACTGCTTGCATACAAAAATAGGGGCCCTGTTTAATCGTTCTTTGGAGAAACGAATTACGAAAAAGATAAACATAGACAGACTCCCTGTTGAGACAATCATCCTTCTGGAAAAACGATAAGGGAAGGCCTAATTCTTCTATTTTATTTAACTTTTTTTTTTTTTTTATCGAAAGTCTGGCATCGTTTTATCCATCAATCCGTTGAAATAAGGAGCTTGTACTTTTATAGGTATTATCAATAACCAGTAACCACTAACAAAAACTCAAAGGACGGCGCATTATTATATATCACTAAATAACCGTGCTAATAATAATAATAATAATCTAAAGCGTGTCTTCTTCAATAGCAACACTAAGAATTTTATTCTATGTTCTTATACACGACTTGTGTGGATTCTAGCTAGAGACCGAAACCTTACAAGAGCATCTTTCCGTTTTTAGCTTTTGTTGCTATGTTTGCTTTCCTTTACTTTATACCATTGGCAACCAAAGCGTCCGCTTTACAACATGACAGCTGGAGACTCCGTGAGATTCATTTATTTGCTACTCTAGTACATTTTCAACCGTTTTTCCTTCTATCAATCTTTACTAACGTCTGCATTTATATGTGAGTGACATGCGCAAAAACAACTCTTCGTTAACAACGTTTCATTCGGGTCCATCGTGACGTTGGTGGTCCTTACTTTATGGAAAAGGCTTCAAATTTTGTCTTAGCCTCGATTCCTCTGTCGTGCTGAAATAGAGGGCGGGTCAGACGAGGCTACAATTAGTTGACAATGATTTCTATTAGCTTCGTAGAGCTACGAGCCGCTAATGTACGTAGAATACAGTTGCTCTTACCCACAGCGCTCATCTGGGTCCGGCACAATTAGATGAATTCTGTTTAATGAAAACAGTAAATAGACGTACCATCTATGAATGGGTACCATTGTTGAAATAAGGATGTTTGAAATAATCGGAAATAGGTGAACGGTGAAAATATATTTACAAAGAAAAAAGTTCAAACGCTAAACACAACTTCTTTTACTAAAGTTAGTGACAATAGTCAAAAAGTTTACAAATATCTTTTCTATTTACTTAGTTGGTATATGTTATTTTGCATAAGATGGTAGATAAAATACACGGTTTTTTTTTCAATTAAGTGATCACGGCTGAGATACTATCCTTAGTCGCTTCATTAAATACTATTATTAAAATATTTAATAATGAATGTACTTGTATGTGTCTTGATACGTAGCTATCATATGCAGAATGAATAGTCTTTTAGTAAAGGTATAGCCGAAAATCGTAGCAAATTGAATGGAACGGATTATGGATCTCAATTCCATTTCTTGGAATCATCGCCTGTAAATGTCGCACTCCTTATGAAATCAATTCACCTACTTAAGTTAACCTACTTGAACATACGTCGTCACCATCCTTGACATAAGCCACAAGAAAACCTGAAGACTAGAGAAACAGAACGCATATTTACATTAAATTTAATATTACTCACGATCTCTAAACTGGCACCAACGTGTGTTATCAGCTTATTTTTAGTAAGTTCTCCCTACATTTACACAACTAGTTCGAGAACTATTTGGATTGAAGCCACTCCCGATATCGTTATCGGAATTAACCAGACAAACCGCTCCACCAACTAAGAACGGCCATGCGCCACCATCCACCAAATCAAGAAAAAGCTATCAATCTGTCAATACTTCTAGTGTAAGGGCCAGGTAAATTTTCCCGTATTGAGTAAAATCAAGCCGCACCTGGTGATGCCCTTCCGTCAAGTCTTTTAAGTTTCAGCTTTGTAACCATACTTCCCCCATAACCCTACTTTGCTTTCTCGTGACCTCTCACTTAAGACATACGTAAGCAAATTGCTAGTTGGCATAGTTTATGGTTAGATCTAGGGCGGTATCTGATCGCCTTCGAACCTCTAACTTTCGTTGTTGATCAAACGATCAAGAACTAAAGTACTTTCTAGTAAAACAAAAGAATAAATGAGTTTTCTAACGAAGCTCAGCTGCATTATTTGCCCCAGATTCTTTTCATTTAACCGTCTTAATAAGTTAAACTGCAAACATCGGGTCGTTTTGTCTCGGGCCTCATCTCAGATCTATGTTGATCTCAAGTGCGCGTAGAAAATTAAGTGAAATCTTCACTCCCGTCGAGTGCTGTTACGTGTGGAATGTGAAGTTCGAACGGCACAGCTCTCGCTCACTTTTCATAGTCTTTCTTCCGGATCAATGCGTTTTCCGGACCTAAATACACGAAACCATTCTCGAATCCCCCCCCCCCCCCCAGTTTATGCCAATCGCTATCTTGTTGGAGAGATAGTTTCCCAAAAAAATGAGCTATTTTTCGCTTTACCTTGCTACGACCCATGTTCGGGCTATTAGTTTTGTACGCGATCTTCATTTCTGCCGAAATCTCGTAAAGGCCTGCGGGCGAACTAGGCAGCCTCCATACTACACCCTGTGATAAGTTTCAATTATGTAGCCTTCATCATATCGACTTAAATCATCATATAGTCGGAACTATCATTTTCAAACTAGTAGCTTGCCTTTGACAGAACTGAATTCGGGTAGAGTGGTATTTTTCTCTGGAGTCATCCGGCTTGCCGGATCTGCGTATGGATCTAGCATAATTTAAAAACAATTCGCTTATGTAAAAAAAATAGTGAATAGTTAAACATGGATGCCATCAAAGCGGCTTTCGTACATCTTGAAATTGCACTACTAATACGTGACTCTGAAATTACGTTGCGCTAATTTTCATAACGTTTTTTTAAATTCAGAGGCAAGACAACTGGATTCCTTTCATTTCGCCATAAGAATGACGAAGGTCGACTTATGCTCACCTGTGTAAATACGCAAAATGCAACAGTAAATCTTCTATTTCCTGCCTTTTAGATGGACTTAGCCTATTGAAGCTATATTATTGTTTTTTAGTGGTCTCTTTTATCCAACTTTATGGAGAACTTGTTACCATGTTAACTTGTGTTGAAATAATACATTAGGATATTGTCAATTGTTTACAACTGTTGCTTTTTGATTTTTTTTTTATCTAAGAATAATTGTTTAATCTTTTGCACCGGAGGCGACTTGTATGAGTCGTACAATAAAGCAAAGCCAGAACAACTTCGAAGAAGTAGCTGTTCTGCGTGTGCGTGTGTGTTTGCGCCGCTCTTGTAAACGATTTTACGTGTCGAGATATCGAGGCTGAGGTGTCAAGTAAATCATGTTCAAGCTTTGCATTGACAATAAACTCAATGAATGTGAAGGTTGCGACATAACATCGAGTTGGGCAAAACGTTATCGAGTCGCCAGGCTATTACGTATAAAAGAAGATGACCCACGTTAAAACGGAGGAACTGAGTATCGGCAGTCAATCTCTCTGACAGGCGCTGAAACCTTTAAAGTGTCGCTGGATGTGGCCGCATGGTTTTCAATGTTCAACTAATTTTGAAAATAGCCAACACAAAGTATCACCACCTTTGCTCTACTCACATCTAGCCGTCGCAAAAAGTTGATCAAATATGTATTTACCTCAATCAGCTTGGCACGCATAATCATTGAGTCTCAAGCGGAGAACGGAGTGAGATTATGGTTTATATTTCCTTGCATGTAGTCAGACTCATATATTAGTTATCGTTTCCTCTAATCGATAACAGCTTTATAGTGACACACCTCCTGTTCTCATATGTACGTTTCAATATAGGATAGCGAAATACATTCCACAACCTATTAAGGATTCTATCTGGACTCGGTTGTCACGGCCCTTTCTGACATATAAAAACTGTACCATTTTATGAACACTTTATTTTGTATGGGCACGACTTGTTGCGTCGTCAGCACCCTTGTACCGGATACGCGGCGCAAGAGTACCCTATGGTATTTCCCCATATTTATGGTTTCACTGTTTTGACCATACATTGGCGTGATACAGCATGATAATAAACTCGGCTTCTTTTGGCTTACCTTTTTCACATTTGTCTTACTTTGTGCTCGCCACTCGATGGCATTGCGGTGAGAGCCCATGGTTCAGCACTAACCATTACCACTAGCAGGCCAAGTGAGTCAAGATTTGCCTAGGAGCAACGTCAGACGACTTTTCTCCGCTTTATTTTGGCCATTAAATGACATACAAATGTTAGACTGCAGTAACCACTGCAGATAAAGGTACGTCAACAGCCGTTTACAGAAGCTCGTAACGTAGAATGCTTTCGCTGAGTGAACGGCGACGTTTGCAAAAGAACGGAGTGGTGCCATGAATCTGGCTGACTTGAAGATATGTCTCGGTGTTTCATCCGAATCGGATTGGCATTTGCTTCTTGTAGGGAACGTTATTTCAAGAGGGACCGTCGGGCCAAGAAAACATAGAGAAGACTATCTAGCCTGCTCCAAAGCGGATGCTGAAATGGTCGCGAAACGTTAGAGTCTGACCGGAACTCTTGGATCGACAATTACGCACGCCTTTTATTTTGATGACCTGAATACCACCGGTTAGCTGCACTGAGCGACATGGAATCATGTGTATACGTTTTGATTTTATGCAAAGGATCTTTTTAGAATAACATAAAGATAAAAAAAAAGCGAAATATTAGAAAAAATCTATTTTTTGCTGTTACTTTATATCCTGTGCAGCTTTATATCCTGTACACTATAACTGATAAAACATGCTAAACAATTCTAGTTTCATCATCTACAGATTTTTTTTAGTGTTACTTGACAATTCAAAATACTTTGATTGGGCCAGAAATTATTCCTGTTTAACTAACAAAGGGTCCATATTACTTTCATTATCGCATGTCCTTCATTGACGATTTTTACCTTTTTATTTAAAAATAAATTGGGGCTTGGAAACGACATCCTCGCAGGATAGACGATGAACCTTATGCGTATTTTATACTGATTAATACCGCTGGGATGTATTTGAGTATAAGCGACAATCAGCAATGCTTTGACGAACACGGGCTAAACATCTGACCGTCGTCGAACGCACACATCGAGTCCAGCGATTCGTATGAAAGGAGTGGCAGCTTCTGTCTTTGAGCCCGAATGAAATGCTTTTTTTGTCAAATAAAAACTCCATTTTGCTTGAAAACAGCAGGCGATGCAGATAATTACGGCTAGGGTTCTTTCCTCTAAAGTCTCCCGCTACTTTTGCCATGTAAATCTACCTTGGGCTGTCAGGAGCTCAGCGGCACAAACTGCAACTTACATAACTTGCTTCTAGGCTCTTGTTGTCCTGTATTAAATGTCTTGACTTTTATGTTCGGTGCTTCAACCGTATGCGTTGCTAAAGACGATGGCCTTTTTCCAACACGAAACAGAATGTGTCTATCCCCGGACTCGAACCTAGGTTACCACGTATACTTAGATTTAGTAGGTAAACACATTACCAGTACGTATCAATTCCCTTTTTCTAAAGCCTAATTCTATAGCCTCGTGCACTTCTTCATACGTTCATATACGAGCTGATGTTTTTCTTCACCATTGTTCCTCATCCAGATCTGCTCGTCTTTTTTCTTTCCTAACGTTCATTAGTCTGTGAAAGATGTGCCACATCATATAACCTTAATATTATTAATAATAACTATTAGAACAACTCTTAGGGCAATATTAGAGTGACATGGGGTGATTTTAGGATAATATCAAGGTAACATTAAAGCCCCAGTCAATACCCTAATGTTGTCCCGAAATGCCAATATTATCCTGCATTTTAACGCTAACTGTTTCCCGGTTCATCGCGTCCAAAGGGGGAGGACAAAGTAAACTGTTTCAAATTCAGTGATACGTATGACAGTACGTTTTCGCACAAAACAGGTGTTCCGTTGAGGACGTAATTCCCGCGATCGTCACTTAGTGTGTGTTCGTTCATTAGCGCTAAATTGAGATTGGAATAACGTTTATTGAACTAACATTGTCGAGATTAGAGAATTCGTAGCGAACCTCCAGTAAAAGTCGTCTGGATGTGACTACAAAATAAATATAAATGCCCATTTGTCTTTAAGTGATGGTCGGCAGAAAAGCATCAGGTACGAGGCAAATATTGGTAACTTCTAATGTCATCGCGATCAATTAAGTTACAATCTAAGCTTGATCTCTGTCTTGGACAGCACTCACTGAGTTCAGTTCCCCCTTGAACATAAGCGTGTGTATTGCTTCGCTTACGTATGCTGAAGGTTACGATCAGAAAGACACTCTCGCACTTCAATTATCCACCAACGAGACTGAGCTTATTTATAGCCAAGGTTAAAATGATACCATCATTTTGCTCGATGCCAAATAGAATTCGGTTCATGCGGCGAAGTTAATTAGAATAAGAAGGTTACTTTTAATATCTTCATTCACAACATATGGGTTAATGGAATCAGCGGATTTTGACTTTCAATAAAGTAAGACTAATGTCCAGATCGTAGTCGTTTAGAACCTATATTTCCCCATTAAGGGAAAGTTGTTACTAAAATGAAATAGTAATATTTTAGGTTAAATCCTCGTTTACATAGTTTGGTTATGAACAAGGTGATCCAGCCGAAAAATATGTGCGAGGTTTAAAAATGGCCTGTGCAAGAGTCTTCACGACCATCGAAATTTCGTATAAATACGTCTAGAACGATGTACAGTGCACTACGTGTCAGCAAAATGTGTTTAGCCCTATACACTCAGCATAGGGACATGCCTGTAAAACTATAGATCTATGAAAACATTGTGGTATTATTATAGAAACTAAGATTATTAGTGGATGTTATTGTTCTACTCATCCGAAAACAATATTGTTTGATTTCAAGCACTGATCAACTGTCTTTATTTGACAACATATATATTATTTCGAGTCTGTAACATCCATAGTGATACCTAGCTGTGAAATGGGCGAACCTGAGGTTCGTGCATCACCCCATCTGCAAGTAAATGCATTCTCACCCAGTAGAAACATTAGCGTAGTTCCTTTGCCGTTGGCGGTTTCGCTAAATTACATAGAGAAGCTACGTGTAGCATTTTATATTGTTTTCGAACCTGAAACAGTTTTGATTCGCGCACAATGTAAGGTAACGGCGTAATATGTGCAGACCAAACAAACTTCCACGGCACAAAAAAGGCATTAGAGCCTCCTTTTTATTTGAATGCGTTTACGGATCTGGTCGAGCCACGCGGAATAGTACGTATTGACATTATTAATTTCGCTTACGTACAAACCCGCTTTGAATGCCAAATAACTATGATAGTGGCAGGAAGTTGTTCCACCCTCGTTTCAGTTATATTCATGGCTTCGCCTATGACTTGGAAGCGAGCCGACTATTTTACTAGCTGCCTTCGTTTGTACGTGGTTTTCGCAGTAACAAAAAAGAATAGAAGACAAAAAAAGAGAATAGTAAACGAAAAAAGAACCAACGCTTTCCATTAAGAAAATGGAGGTAGCGGGCGAAGGCCACCGTAGACACGAAGGAATCAACAACGACTCAATTCAACAATACTGGCAATTACCAGAGCCAAACGTGGTCCTGGAAGGCCAAGTGGATGACGGACCAAGGGGACGCGAGGTAGCGTGACACTATCGATTCCAATTGAGTATTAATTAGGTAGCTCTCGGAGCTTCCTGCACCTGC